CTCTCAATTTTTCAGTTTTATTCATTCAGTCTCTCTGTGAGAGACTCGAATCTCTGAATTAACAATTTTATCGTTCGAGTCTCTCATACAGAGACTGTGAGAGATCCATAAAAACACCTAGGCAATAACTAAAAGACTGTGAAAGACTGCAAGAGACGCTCTCAGAGACCCTGAAAGACACTGAGAGACTGGATAGAGACTGAAACTTTTTGTCTAGAGTTAGAACTTTAGTTTTATATCTTATATTGCCACCGCGGGCTTATTTAAAGCCTGTGTTCGATTTCGCATGCTTTGAATTACGCTATGAATAATTTCTTGAGGTAAGTTGCCCCACTTTTCCACTAACGCCAATTTCATCTCTTCGACGTTATTAGGGGTGCTATTGAGCCCAACTGATTATTATAATACTAAAAAATATATATAGAACATAAATTTGTTTAAAAAACCGGCCTTTTTTGCGTTCCCCTAATTGTGCCTGTAAGTGTATATTAAACCATTATTCATTTCTGCGAATATGTTGCAGCAACTTGGTAGTTTTTTTTTTATGTATTATCATTTGTTTATTTGGTGTACTGAACGACTTTTAGGACCAATGTCAAAATCTTCACTTTTGAGAAAATTACAGTCGAAGTTTTTGTTAAATATAGGTACTTTTACTTATAGTCCGGAGATATTATATGTTTCATACAGATGTTTTATAATTTAGTAATTTTGAACTAATTTAAGCCCGTTTTCCAATTAAACCCACTTTTAAAGTTAAAAGCCAATTTATGTTCAAACTGAATTCTCGACCGACTTTTTAGTTCTCTTTAAATTATAACTTTTCTGGTTTTATCGTTGTACGTAAACGTAGATAGATTATCGCAATATAAAACGCACTTGCTTCACAAGGTCCACCTCAAAGGTTTGAATCGATCCGGGCAGCTCCATGTCAAGGGGAGTACTGCGTTAGTGACGATAAGCTAAAAAGAATTGCTCACGACCTTCAAATTAGCTTTTATTACATGCATCATACATCTATCAAAAGCTATGACTATATAAGCATCGATATAAAACAACTGGTTCACAAAGTATTCACAAACTATTATAGACACTCTAAAGTTACCTGTTCACTGAAAACATTGCTATTTCCCTAAAAGATACTTGGTTTTAAGCGATTCATAGAATCAAAAAGATCACAAAATTCAAAAATGCAACAGTAAAAGAAATTAGCTTTGCCAATAGGCAATTAAAAGTATCATCAGAAGTCTACAGGTTTACTTATATATAAACTGACACTACTTCATTAAAACTAATTACAGTAAACAAATTGAAACGAAATTAGAATTTATCAACTAGATTTATGCAATAATTTTCCAAATGTTGACCGGAACTTGACCATATTTCAAATCAGTTTCATTTAAAAGCATTCTACTTAGTAATAAAATTTTTATGATTTCCATTACCGCAGTCTCCTTTCCTATTTCATTGTACTTACTGATATATACCTTAATTTTATCCATGAACTTATTTGTGTGATCAAAAATTATAAAATTAATTTGAATCCTAATATGAACCTAACTAAACGGAACACTGTTGCCCAAAATTCTATAGTACAAATAGGTAAGTAAAAAGAAAATTTTCAATCGAAATTACAGACGAGTGTACTAATCGAGATGTTTACCTTACATTTTTTATATATTTCTTTATTTTCCACAAGTACCTATAGTAAAAATATTTAATCACAATATGTTCTAAAACTTTCATTGCGTTCTTAAAGTCTTCAATAAGTAGACATTGTTTTCTTGTGATAGCTTTCTCTAGTAGAGGATATTGAAAACATCGTTTTATGATGCTGATTTTGTATAAAAATAGAAAGTCTTCCTTTAAATAAATAATTAAGTAATACTCACCATCGTCGGCATAGGTTTCTGAGCCATATCCATCTTGAAGCCCGTTCGCCCAAGTGCCTTCATACTTTGCCGTCGATGTGTTAGATTGTCTAACGCCGTAACGTCCTTTAAAACCCTGAGTCCATTCGCCGCGATACACCCATCGACCCCTTGTTTCAACCCCTAGTCCATGTCGTTTACCGTTTTGCCACTGGCCTTCGTACGCGCTGCCACTGAAATTTAAACAAACACCAAACGTGTTTACATTATTACGCTTCTAAAATTATTGTGGGTGTGTGACAATGTAAGGTGTTGGAAAATAAATTAATTGCCAACATTTAATTTTCGTCTAAACAAATGCGTTATTTGCACCTTCCAGTTAAGCATTACACTTGAACATGTTTATAAATTTTATAAAGTATAGTAGTTAGTTACGTTTCGGTTTTATCATCGATAATTTTTAATCAAATATATAAACAAGAAATAAATATAACAATAATAATATATTAATAGTGATAATCAAACTGGTCTCGGTTTTACAGTCTTAGTCTTACTTTTGCGAAAATGCAAAAAACCAAGACCCTACGAACTAATTTTTAAAGTTCCGAATTTGGCTGGCGACAAAGAGAAAAGTAATTCAGGAGATAGTAACTATCCAGCCTATCTTTTTAAAACATATGAGTGTTTTTTCATGCTGTTTCTTTTTTAATTGTAGTCGTCGCTATTATGAAAAACGAAGCGCGGAGAAATCAGCTTAATTTATTTTAGCATGGAGTGCGCTCTTTGGATTCTATGAAACCAACCGATTGAGTGATGCATACCAAGTTTCTATTTATAAAAGGTGTAACTATACATATAATCGTATCCGCATACCTTGTCGAATTAATTCGGCATCATTTAGTCGTAATTCGCTACTGTCTAGCGTTTTATGCATTATTTTTAACGGGAATCAATTAGGATCATTAACTCCAAACCCAAAAATTATATTTCTTTCTAAAAAAGCCAACTTCGTTAGCACTCATCTATCATAATCAAATCTATTTCATACTACTAATAAGAAATTCGAAAAATATTGTTAGAGGTGTATGTTTAGAGCACGGCGCCGTACGGGTGCGAAACATGAACGGTGGGCGCGGCAAAAAAAAAGTTAGAAGCGTTCGAAATGTGGTGTTCTTGGCGAATAATGAGGATACCGTGGATAGAGAAGGTTAGAAATGAAGAGGTATTAGAAAGAATAGGAGAATAGAATACTCTTTATGAGAAAAATTGGCGAGATAGGTTGGTAGGACACCTCAAGCATGAAGGTCTAGTCAGATACATATTAGAGGAAGAAACGGGAGTTAGAAGGGGAAGAGGTAGACCTAGATTAGATTATTGGGGATTGCAGGGAAATGCGAAGATAAGCTCAGGATAGGAAGGAGTAGCGGCGCGTATCCAGCCAGTCTTAGGACTGATGACCTTATGATGAAAATAACTACTAATAAACTTTTTCAAAATTATTCTGTCGTCTGTCGTGACTGGAATTTTTCTCTTCCTAACGTTTCGTAATTTTTTTATTGGCGAGAGTCAGAAAAGACCTGCGAAACATTTGGGAAAGGATTTTCTCCGAAACATGGCAGGACACCTAGAAACTTCCTGTAACAATTTTACACTTCGAAGAAATAAATAAATTCAAATAATGCAGTAAATGCCATAGAGCTGGTAGGATATACCTGGTAAATACATATTTTCTAATTGTTTATTAGTAATTTTTCTGTTTCTTTAACTTCTCTAGTTTCTCTCATAAAGCACAAACCAAAGTTAATTTGGATAAAAAAAATTAATTCCACTTATAAAATTCCTTACACGAGTTGCGGAAAAGCTATATTGGTCATATTAAAGGCCCTTTTACATAAAAATCCGTGAACATAGAAACGATCAGAAAAAGCAAATAATAGTTCTTATTTCTCAGCGTCGAAACTGGTCAAAAGTCCAACTTCGACATATCTAGCATATAGAGGACAACTACTTGAAACGTTTATTTTTAGAAACATCCTTTATTCTATTACAAACAGAAAATTCTCGATCAGACTTAGAAAACAACCTTATAGTTAACAATTATTTCAATATTTACAATAAATTCAAAATTTATAAAAAGATACAACTAAAAATTACTTATTGCTAAAATGAAATTAAATTACTACTATATCTCTATCTATGCTAAATTATTTCTGTAGTATATGCACTTTTAAGTTTTTATAAGGAAATTTTTTAAAGGTAATTATGTCCTGTTCTGTCCCATTGTATCTACTTATTTATTATCTTATCTTTACAAGTTTTTAACTATTTACAATATTTATTATTTTTCTATACATTTATGTGTTTTGTAATAACTTTTAGGGGATTCACCTCGACGGTTTATTAACCTAAAAAACTTAGTAAGTTCATGTTAATTTGACTCCTCTGCAATGTTGTTATAGTCACCACTATACATATAATACAAGCTTGAAAAAATCTCGTTGCTGTTGGTTTTACTCTAATAAATCTCTTCAGCCCCGAAGTAGCTTTGATTATTTTTTGTAATAATAGAATATTCAGATTCTACTAACATCTTTTCTAATATAGTTTACTAACTAATCAGAAATACCATTCGTCCCCTGTCAATATTCTTTATTTAAAATATTACAAAACGTACAACAAAATACTAAACATTATGTCTAATAATATCAGTCAGCTTAGATAAAGTAGATAAAATACATGGGTATTTTAAAAAATTAATACATAGCTCTCTTGTGCATATCAATTTTGTGATGTTGATGTGTTACCTATTTTCACGTTTCAGAAAAACGTCTAAATAATACTCATTATCAACTGAACCGTCTTCTTTGTTAATATATCTCAATGGTATTTGAAAATGTGACAAATAAGGTTCATCATTCGCTTCCATTACAGAAGTACAAATTCCGGGTGTAACTGATGTACCATCTGAAGGTGAAACAGTTGAAGTTTCAGTAATTACTACTTCTTCCTGCGAATTACTGGGTGTGACAGGATTAGTTGAGGAACATTCATTAATTGTTGTAGATTCAGGTATCGATTGTGTCAGATCTAAAATATGATATAAAATAATTGCAGTCATAGTCGATTTTGGACATTAAGGGTTGTCCGACCGAAATTTCGTTTAGGGTGAAAAAACAATCAATAGTTACAAATCATTTCATTGACAACAGTGAAACAAAAACATTTCTAAATTGAGAAACTTGAGGAAATTTAAGTATGTAATGTTATTTAATTCATATGTTACTCCAGAAATTAATTTTTATTAGGCCTCTTCTAAATCTACTTATTGTATAAGTATATTTTCACTATATTCCTTATTGGTTAAAACTGATCACGTCATGTTCTTGATCGTAATTCAGATCACGCTGAAGAAACATAATTCCAAGATCAATGAAAGCATTAACAATTAAATTTGCCTATTACTCTTGATTGAATTAATCCGATGTAATCGCTCGATCGATTTCATATTTAACTGCCATATTCTAGCAAATTGTTAAGCATTATGAACAATAAAAATTAACAATTTTTATTAAGCTAACTGCACCTTACACCTTCATTTTATTTCACCATTTAGCTTGTTTATACTTTCTTTAATTGGACGATTGTTTATCATAAAACTAACTACGGTTTGCTGAAGATAGCAAACGATTTGAAAATCTATATCTGGTAACTTTCAGAAAATTTTTAAATAATACATTATAATAATTTAAAATTACCGGGGGAACTAGTTGTTGTAACTTCCTTCGATGAATTGCAATCGTCGATTGGTGTGGTAACTGGTTCTGTGGACAATGATGAAGATGTCGAGGAAGGAAGACATTCTTGTTGTAATGAACGAGACGGTGATTTGTGCTCTGAAATATCACCTTCCGAAGAATTATACGGGTCAATTTCAGAACTCTCATTATCGGAGTCCTCCCTTGAGGATGGTATAGAGTTACTTTCTGATCCATCATCATCGGAGGAATTGTTTGTTGAATCGTTTTCAGAAGACTCATCAGTAGCCAAAGAATGAACTGATTCATCTAAATCAATTATTTTGGGTTTACCCTTTTCCCATTTGTCTCGCTTATTTATACGATGGATTACATTATCTATTACATTACCTTGATCTTTTTCTGGAGTATAAGGCGATTCTTCGTTCTTACTTTCTAATGTGGATAAATTTCCACCTTCCTCAGGACTGGGTGACGTACTACCATCTGCTACTGAGCCACAATAATTATTTGATGAAGTTGTACTCGTTTTTACATCGTCATGTTCACCAGAAGAATTGTTGGTAGTACTTTCTTCTAAATCAGAGTTACTACTTGTATTTTCCGATATATTTTTTCCATCTTCGGAATTTTTTGGTTGTAAGCTAATCGGTATGTTTTGGAAATCGGTTTCGTTACACGAACTAATTATTTTAGATATTATCATAATTAGTTCCCCAAGTAGGTAAGGTGTAGTTTGATATTCACTGGTTGGTGCCGAATCCACACAATTAGCCACCACGGCAGCAAAACACAACACAACAAACACCATTTTATCAACTGCTAATTCGCAAATAAAATAACCACCTTTTATAAGTGCGCAACAATTATAAATAAACGTAAAAAAACTTACGCATAAATAAAAATAACTACAAGAATGCAAAACAATTTTGTCATGTCCTGTCACATTATATAGGGGTAAAAACAAGAAGTTCTTACAATTTCGAAGGAATGTAATTGCTTTCGAGTGTCAAAAGTAATAGCCGAAACGCAAATATTTATTAACATTTATGCTGCTTGCATAAACAAATTGACAAACTCATGAGGAATTTTAACAAATAATATGTTGGTAGTTGACCTTTTAAATGTTTATTTGAAAATCAACACTTCCATTCAAAAAAGAAATCAATTATTTTTACTTATTTAAGTACATATATGAAACTGTTGTGCTAAACAATAAAATTATATAATGTCATAGTGATATGATAAGGAAATAGTAATATTCAGTAGACATCTGCGTGAATTATTGTACCGANCGTGGCCGAGTAGAGGGGGGACATCCGTTGCATGATTTCGTTACATAGCAACTCGTATGAAACGAACTTACCCTACCGTGCGTAAAGAAGTTTCACTTAAAAAGTATTAATTTCTGTTACCTGTAACATGGGGTTACAGTTGTTTTAAATGAAACCATCGAAACGTAACGATTATGAACAATATAATTATAATCGACTTCATAATCAGAACGAAGAACCGCGTTAATCAGTTTTGCTGCATCACCAAACACAGCCGGCACCCTGCCGATATTGACTGCCGCAAATAAAATATTTTTTGGATAATATCTCTGCATAATAGATCTCGATTTGTTTCCAACACAGAATACCATAATATTTTTCTTATCTGATGTAGAATCAATGAGTTGCATGACCTTTTTAGCTACACTACTATGAACCCCGCCACAGAGCCCTCTGAAAAGGATTATGATGAAATTAATAATTAGTAAGAACGAATTAAGTTCTTGGTCAGTAATTTATCGAAACTGCAACACGTGGGTCGCGATTATGATCTTATTTGATCTCATCAGCACCCCATGAGCAGTCTCGACGGGGGCAACGTTTGATTGTGATTTAATGGATGTATGTTCATTCTTCTAAAGGGTATATCAACTCCTTCAAGAATCTTAAATAAAGCGGGAAGTCAAAGGCGTTTCAATTATCTTTAAAAAAATGCTAACACTATAATTAATGTGAAGACCCAGATGAAATTAAATAAAGAGTTCTCCAACAAGTTTTATTGATTAAATATTCAAATTGCAAGCCATTCACTTCCATACTGTAAACAAATCTTTATTCAATATTATTTTGCAGTATTCTAAGGATTATTTCACTACATGCAGTCATAATTCGTAACGTAGATCTTCTAATCAGGTATGTTCCATTTTATAGGTAACTCTCTTTAAATGGTGTCATAAAAATTCTGATTCAAAAAATTACATACAGGCAAAACGTAGCATCATTTTCTTTAATGTGATTGTCATTTTTAAGAATCTCCGCAATGCGGGGGTAGGTAGAATTCGTCAGTCGAATTCGTCAGTCGAATGATGCGGTGAAAAAACGGGCCAGTAATACCAGTTTCCTAAAATTCCCGCCCATGTATTCAGCTTTCTAGAAACTCTCTCATAATTTTGCAATTCAAATAACTCCAACAGCTCCAATTATGTTTGTTTACTTAATCATTAAGAAAGAACGTGCATTCGTAAATACAGAAAATTGGGACAACGAATTACTACGATCTGAATCATCTTCAATAAGCTCTTACACGAGAGATGAATCTTATTAGGTATACGGATAGAGTCGATGTTTTCTTACTTTTTTACAAGGTTTTCACATTTAATTGTTGCACAGCACAAATATATCTGCGCTAGCATATTGGGCTCCCACGTCATTTAAGATTCTTGAAGGGGTTGTCACTCCCTTTGGGAGAACGAAAATCAATAGATGTCCCCCTTAAAGAAAAAATTGACCTATTTCAGGGATTCCCGAAAAACAATGCGGTTGAAATTTTTCCAGGTTGAATGTCTCACATTCACCGCATTCGGTTAGGCAAGTAGGCACTTTATACTAAGGTCCTTGCTTAATTCTGTTAATCATTCCCAAGAAGTGGATGAAATTTTGGAAACCTTTATAATATTTTGCAAAGAATCAAATTGGCCTTTCCTACACGGAGAGAACTAAATTTTTATGACAACGTAAAACTTACAATTTTTGATTGTAAATGACTCAATTTGCCGTAGAAATAGTAGAATTTATTAGGTGACTTGTAATAATCTCAATTTTGACATGTTTTTTTTTTAAATCATTTCAAATTTCTTAATTATTACAATCTAATTTGTAATATCAACTAAAATACCTAGTAAATTTATTTCTGCTGGGATTTTATTTTTACAAATTCGGGTCGAAATGGTAATTTTAATTATTTTCATTTACAAAATAACGGGCTAGTGGGATAAA